CAACTACAGAATGACAACGGGTGCATCCAGCAGACAAATGAGTACCCTGACCAGCTTCATAAGATGTTCCGCCGGAAGGAAGTCTGTGCCAACAAATTATGGAGAACATGTGAGCAATAAATCTAAAAAACTGTTTAACTTGTACAAACTGGAGAACTTTGCTTTTGAAACCTCCAAAAGTTTGCAATCTGTTAGACCAGTTGTGTATGCTGATGCAGAAGAACTAGTAGAGAAGGTAAGCTAGATTAAGAGTTTTCAACTGATTTGTTAACTTTAATGCAAAACACAAATATTTGTTTTCCTTTTCCTAGATGTAGGTGATAGAAGATAGAGGTGAAGTTGGAAAAATGGAAGTTGAAGTTTCTGGCAATATTTCCCGAGGATTATGCACCAGTAACAGACCAAAATCGTGCCAATTACAAAGAAGGAGGGCGCATGTCGAAGAATACTAAGCCAACTGGGGTTAAGAAATTAATTATTTTATGTATGGTTCTTGATATAAAAGAAACCTATCAGAGCATTTCGTTACTTTTTAAGTTAACGAACCATTTCATTTAAATTTGTGTCTGATATTAAGATTAATTTAATAATCAACGGCTTACAAACTGCAACCGCCTCTTTCCCCTGTCCGCATTGCATTATGTCTTTACAAGAATAAGATCGGGGGGTAAAAATTCTTTTCAGCATGAAGCCAAAACCTATGGCAATTTAAGAGAAAATCACGTTGAATTTGAAAAAATTTTCAACAATAATCCCAAATCCTCCAAAAACTACTTCAGTACAGATCTTTTTCCAGATTGCTTGTAGTCACTTGGTGTTGGCTTCCGACTTCCCATATGGTCAAAACGCATTCTACACAGTGCCTCAGTGCCTAATAGATTCACGCCTTGTTTAAATGCGACACAACTTTTTTTGACCAATCCCTCTGACCCATACCCAGTTAACACGGTATATTCTAAGAATATTCTCTAAATCTACATAATAGTTTGAGAATATTCCTAATATTCTTGTAATATGCAGAGAATATTCGTGTCTATAAGTTATATTCATGGATGATTCATTTCAGTATATCCCAGGCATATGAATAATGTATCTGCTTATCTTATTCATTTTGGTATATGTTTTTTGGTATATTCCTACAATATTCTAGTAATATTCAATTGTTCCATTTTTTTTAGTCTAATTTTTTTGAAAAAATTTGTTTATGATTTTTTTTAAATTTACAACGAAAAATTAATAAAAAAAATGAACTTGTTCCGCGGTGTATACGCCCATGACTTGTTCTGTTAACAGTAATTTTATTTGAATCAGTGAAATTAGGAATTCCTAATTTCACCGATTCAATTAAAATTTAAAAAAAAATGGACCAATTTAATATTACCTACTGTTTGTCTACGATGAGTTGGCGGACCGAAGGAATTAAGTTATTTAGTTATTAAACAATTGTCGTGGTGTGTGCTTTTAAAACGTATTTTTTATATTATAAATAATAATATTATATAATTTTTATATATAAATAATAAGAAAAAACATTACTGAGTAGGTAGGTATGTTTATGTTAATATTATTTATTTAAACTGCATGAACATTTCTTTGCTCGGCCAACTTATAATGGACAGACTGTACTATCTACTACCAAAATGCGCAAGCGCCAACGGGCGGCTTTACACGAGATCGGCCGATTCGACTCCTTCATCTCTGCATCGGCCATTGTTTTTGCGTGTGTAATCCACAGATTATAAAGGTTAATCTAATCTAATAATGGTGTAATCTGTGTTGTTTCGCCAGTGAAAGTGTGTTGATAATTGCTTCCTGTCTGCTAAAAACTGTAAGTATTGTTGTTATTTGTAACTGTTTTTATTATTTGACATGCGGCTAGATTTTAAGGAATAATAACGTAGTTTATTCTAACACAGAACAGGTTCAATTAGACTTAAAAAGTGGAACAATTAAATATTAGTAGAATGCACATAGGCAGGGATGACAGATCCTGTCTTAGAATCGTGAGATTTATTTATATTTATTTATTATATTATAATTAATTGAGTCATTTTTGTAATTAAGGAAAATTCAAACATAATCTCATGATTTTTTTGACAGAATCTGGCATTCCTGCATGTAGGTACTATCGCCACACCAAAAACGCCCACTTTGACATTTCTTACAAATAATTGGGTTTTTTTATCCATCAATTTAACGTTAATTTCATGTTATTTTCTGAAAATAATGCAATATTGGTATTTTTTGCACTTTAAAGTCTTAATTTATAATAATTAAAATACATACATTGTATTATTTTCAGAAAATATTACGAAATTAGAGTTAAACTGACAGATATCAAATGTCAAGGAGGGTGTTTTTGGTAATTAAGGTAAATTCAAATTAAATTTGGCGGTTTTTTTGTACAGAATCTGTGCGCAATCCTTGCGCATGCGCTAAACGTATTTCTGGCCAGCTCCATCTGCATCGGCCATTGTTTGTGCGTGTTTCGCCCTTGTAAGGTTTTTCCAGTGAAACTTTCAGAAAATTGGATTAGATATTTGCGTTCTGTCTGCTTAAAACTGTAAGTATTGTTTTTATTTGTAAATGTGTTTATTATTTGGGGAGACATGCGGCTAGATTTTAAGAATATTAACGTAGTTTATTCTGCCATATTCCCGGTGGCGGTTACCATACAACAGGTGGTGGTTACTGGGTATTGCAAAACAAGCTTTTCCATTTACAATGTGAATTTTACATAGTCATAATAAAACTTATGATAAAACATACATTGCTTCCCAAATGTTTTGAACAGATGAAGAAAAAAATGTATGATTAAGTAGTCCACGGATGGATATAAAAAGATGAGAATCATCTTAGTCCAGTAAAGTTATACTTTTGGCTAACGTGTGAAAAAAAAATAATTCAGGGCAAGCTGAATTTTTCAGGGTTTGTTAAGGAAGGCCTCCTGAGTGTAATATCAAAAAGTTGGACATTTTACCCTTGCACTTTTTGAGCTACAGGGATGTCTTTTTGCAATTGGTGCTACAACAAAAAAATAGGCTCAAATGGTAGATACAAACATTCTGAATCACTTTTCCTTATGACATTTTTTGATAACTTTATTACTTACGTAGCTAGGGGCCGTTTAATGAAGCCATTGTGGAGTGGTTTTGGGAAACATTTTTTTACAGCAAAATGACCCCTATAAAAGTTGTTCAGAATAACAATACGAGCAACTTTTCATTAATAAGCGGAGGTGGTATGATTTTTTATTTCTACCAGCAAAATGACCCTTACACGGAGAAAAATATATGTTAAAATTTATTATATTTTCTGTTAAATATAGTGACAGCTAAATATATGATAAATTTTAACATATATTTTTCTCCGTGTAGAAAAGTTGTTCAAAATTAAAAAACAGACAACTGTTTATTATTACATTTTTTCCAAAACCATGGTTGGGTGCACCCTCAATGGGTTCATTAAACGGCCCCTAGCTACGTAAGTAATGAAGTTATCAAAAAATGTCATAAGGAAAAGTGATTCAGAATGTTTTTATCTACCATATGAGCCCAATTTTTTTGTTGTAGCACCATTTGCAAAAAGACACCCCTGTAGCTCAAAAAGTGCAAGGGTAAAATGTCCAACTTTTGGATATAACACTCAGGAGGCCTTCATTAAAAAACCCTGAAAAATTCAGCTTGCCCTGATTTTTTTTTTTCAAAATCTAACTTTACTGGACTATCTTTATTATTAATTTATCGACGAACAGTAATTCTTTATAAAAAAATCTGCTTTTAAAAAAATGGGTGTACAATACAAAAAATTAATAAATTATACAGGTACAAAATTTTGACAATCATTTAATAAAATGTTGACGTTTACTAAATTGGCTATCTTGACTTGTTGTTAAATAAAGTATACATGTATGTATGTATACAGGGAGACCCAGCCCTCCGTAATCGGTCCATAATTTTTTTGTTATTAAAGATATCGATATGAAATTTTTATAGTAAATATGATCTGACTAAATCTATTTTCCAAAATTATTTTAAACTAAATTTTACTTCCGGTTTCACCGGAAGTGACGTCAACTTTGTTATTTCAAACAGAACACCCTGTATATTTTTTGATTTTTAATTTTATATGTAATTCCAAATAAAATTTGTATAACATTCCCTATACCTAAACTCAATAGTTTTCGAGTTATTAATTTTGTTCGTAATAATTTGACAGTTTCGCCTTCAACACACCTGAGAAATCGACAAGCGAGTTATTTTGACGTATCCATGGACGCCAAACGTTGGATAGGTTGAGGAGGAGCAATTGCTTGGCCAGCTTGCTCCCCAGATCTGACACCCATTGATTTTTTCCTTTGGGGGTACGACCAACTACAGCTGAGGATATGAAGCAGCGAATAATCGATGCATTTCATTCTGTTAACGAAGACGAATATATGCTAAAAATCAATGGGTGTCAGATCTGGGGAGCGAGCTGGCCAACCAATAGCTCCTCCTCTTCTCATCCAACGTTTGACGTCCATGGATACGTCAAAATAACTCGCTTGTCGATTTCTCAGGTGTGTTGATACTTAAATTCTTACAAAATTGTGTGCGTTTTCCAAAAAAAGAAAAAGTAATTTAGCTTATGGTTTTAATATTTTATTAATAAAAAAGTGACGCTTTTTAGCTAATCGGCCATTTCAATCATGCGGGGACAAATTACAAAATTATATTTATAAAAAAAATTGTAGGCAGTTTATTATATAATATATTTACATGAAAATTGTCAAAAATATTCTTCTCTTATCAGGCTATACATTAAATAAATAAAAAACGCAAAACATATTTTATAAATATTTTATAAAAGTACATATTGTGAATTATTAAAATTATAAAATATTTCTTACGTTTCTTTTATTTATTGTATAACCCTATAAAACAAGAATATTTTTGCCAAAATATATAATAAACTACCTACAATTTTTTTATATATAAAAACAGCTTTGTGACTCGGGCCTTTCGCGCGCTTGAAATGGCCCGAATGCTAAAATTTATCTACCATATTTCTAAAGGTGACTTACATTTTCTCTTTCTGGTTTTGAAGTAACTGTTTAAATATATTTTGGCGGCTGATCTCTCCTTACAATATTCTATTATTTTAGTTTATGCCATGCCTAAAAGGAAACGTAATAGTACCTGGTACCGACATTTAAAGCAAGAAAACGACGAAATTTATAAAGATGTCTTTTGTGCCAACCATTCCTGTCGCCCGATCACAGAGCATACGAAAAATGAGGAAAATACTGATCCTGGATGTATAAATGATAATGTGTATTACAATTCAGGCTTAAGTGAAAGTGTAAGTGATCTTAATTTGATCTTAAATGAGGATGACAGTACAGCTGAACTTGAAATTAATAATTTAAGCCAAAGCGACAGTAGCTGTAGCTATAGCTTTTATGAATCAGAATCTGATTCCTCCAGCAATAATGATCGCAGACCTGAGTCTTTGGTAGCTGCTCAACCAGCTGTAGAATTTAAAAGTGTGAATACTATTGATAAATTAAGAGATTGGGTCGTTACAACTAAATTACCTTCTTTTGCTTTGAAAGATTTATTGGAAGTTTTGTCAAATGCAAAAACTGAAGATTTTATTGGATTGCCTAAAGATCCGCGAACATTTTTAAGAACCCCTAAAAAAATAACCACTCGTAAAGTATCACCGGGTGAATATTATCATATTGGGATCCAAAATTCTATTGAAAATCTATATAAGAACGAAAAGCCATCCGAGGAAATAATTGTTATAGGTATTAATATTGATGGATTACCGCTGGCAAAAAGTTCTTCGAGTCAAGTTTATCCCATATTGGGAGTAATTAATTTTAAAGGGGAAAAAAATGTATTCCTGATAGGTATTTACCATGGCTATGAAAAGCCAAAAGATTTTAATGAATTTTTATTGGATTTTGTTCATGAAGCTACAGATCTTATCACAAACGGTTTAAAAATTCATCAAAAAATTTACCAGTTTAAAATATCAATGTTTTTATTTGATGCTGTGGCGAAATCTTCTGTTTTATATATCAAAGGCCATTCAGGGTACCATTCCTGCTCAAAGTGCACACAAGAGGGGGATTATATACAAGACCGAGTTTGTTTTCCCGAATTCAAATTCACAAAGAGAACCCATGAGAGCTTTGTTACAAAAATGTATCCAGAACATCATACAGGTACTTCCATCTTATTAACCATACCCAATATTGATATAATAACCGACGTGCCATTGGATTACATGCATCTCGTGTTGTTGGGAGTCGTTAAAAAACTACTTTGTGGTATTTGGTGTACAGGTCCACCACCTCACAAGTTTTCAAGTTTGCAGATTAAAAATGTTTCTGATCTTTTGGAAAATTTAAAATCTTTTATACCGAGTGAATTTGCAAGAAAACCCCGTAGCCTTAAGGAAGTAAAGCGTTGGAAAGCAACTGAGTATCGACAATTTTTCTTGTACACTGGGCCAGTTGTATTAAAAAATAATCTTCCTAAGTAAAAATATCAGAACTTTTTAACTTTGTCTGTGGCGATAACATTCTTATCGAATGAGGATTTCTGTCTGAGCTATGTTGATTATGCAGAAACGCTTCTCTATTTTTTTTGTCGAAACTGTGAAAAAAATTTATGGAATACAGATTATGTCTCATAATTTTCATAACTTGTTGCACCTGGCAGAAGATGTAAGGAAATTTGGGTTGCTAGAAAATTTTAGTAATTTTTGTTGCGAAAACTTTTTGCAGTCTTTGAAAAAACTTGTAAGAAAACCCGCAAAACCTCTGCAGCAAATTGTCAATCGGTATTACGAACTAAACACAAATAAATGCCATACAGATGCTTTTCATTCTAATATATCATGCGTACCTCGTTATGAGAGTTTTTTCGACAAAAAAACAATACGGTTTAAGGATTACAAACTTTCATGTGATATTAAAGATAGTTGCTGTGCTCTGAAAGATGGGACCATAATAGAAATTAAGAACTTTGATTTTGTGTCTATCAACGATCAACCGGCAATAATAGGGCAGAAATATAGGGAGAAAACAGATCTGTTTAAAATTCCTTGCAATTCGTCAGAGTTAGGAATTTATTTAGTCGGGGATCTGGGAGATACTGCTACTTGGCTTATGTCGGATATTAATGTAAAGCTTGTTAGACTTCCGTATTGTGACAAGGGATTTGCAGTATTTCCAATGATTCACTGCAAAGACTAAATACTAAACGGTATTTATTTTATTATATAAATAAATATTTAATAAACTTCTTTTAATTTACAGTGTCAAAATTTACACGTCAATATGCCGTGGGTGGTTGTAAAATTTATTGATACCAATGAGGTTGAAGCTGTTCCCACCTGCTGGCTTGTAGGCGAAAAGAAGGATGTGGTGGTGTGGCCTCAAAATTTTTCAAAAATTCAGATGCAACAAGCTTTAAAGAAAGAAATTTGCCCTGAGGAACACTGGGAAGAATACAACGTGAAGAAACTGGGCCCACGAGAGTATGATACTTTTGCAACCGCTTGTGCGAAAGCCACCAAGGGATGCGTAACTTCCGAAGTGGAAAGTGTACTTCCAGAGAAGAGAATTCGGACAAAAAAAACTTACTCATCTTCAGAAAATGAAATATCATCAGAGGACCTAAGTCCTCCAGTAGCATTCCAAACAGGTTAGTAATAAATGAACGAATTTTTAAAGCACAGTTGAATTTATTTTATTGTAGAGGGTCCAAATCTTATAAACAAGTCGAGAAGAATGCAAAGGCAAGAAAAGCACTGCAGCCTTTCAAAAAGACCCAAGCCAAGTGTGTGAACAGTCCAGAAAATTTGGGTTATGATGATGTGGAAACTGCAACAGGTAAGTTAAACTAAATTATTTTTTCACTTCTGTGATCAACATTTTTTACAGAACCTGAAGTTATGCGTTCTAATGCAGGTTTAGCCGCATTGGAAGTTTTTACGGCTGCAGCACCTGGTAAGATAAAGAAAATTATCGAATTGAAGTTTTAAACAATTTTTGTTTTTAGAAGAGTTCCAAAAAAAATGCCTCCAATTGTTAGTAAAAAATAAAAAACTTATTACCGATTGTGATGAGAACGTAAGTGAACTAAGTCGAAAGGTCGATGAACTGAAGGAAATGTTGAGTGTTCTAATGGGTAATCGTGAACAAGATACGGCAAGTGATAAAACACTCACTGATATTTTCATCAACGAATTTCCTGTAAAAAGTTTTGAAGAGCTTGAAGCAATTGAAAAAAAATTACAAAGAGATGATGTAGCTAATTATATTGTAAGGTTTATCCACTTTTGTCATGCCTCTATTAAATACCTACATTTTTAGACTGACAGCCTCTATAGAATCGGTGGGCGAGACTACAAAGACTGCATTCGACGGTTTCTTAAGAAAATGATGGCCGATAGCGTAGCCGCCCATTATAGTTTACAGGGTCACAAAAAAAAGAAAATCTTCTCCTCCACAAAAATGTTTGCAGTGATAACAGGTAAGTCTGTTCTGAAATTAGGCTTCTGTTTTAACTGCTTTTTTTAGGCGCAGTTCTAAAATGCGACAAAAACGTACAATTAAAAAACATTGAAATTATTGTGAGCCAATGGCTGGCCAAAGCGCCAGAAAGGCTTAAAAAGATTGAAACACAGTAAGCAATTTTTAAAAATTATGTTTTTGTTTTAACTATTGTTTTCAGAACTGACGATCCAGACGATTAGGATTAGGACCTTTTGCAAAATACAATGTTATGAATGAATTTTATCTTATTTTTTATTACTTAATATAATAATTTATTTGTTTTTAATAATAATTTTTTTATTATATATACTATTTTTTATTCATGCATATCCCAAATATACCAGAAATAAGCAAAAAACATTCGTTTGGAATATTCCTATTAAATTTTGGATCATATTCCAAGAATATTCTAAAAATATTCAGAACATGCTATGTACATTCTCAAGAAAATGTTCCAAGTATATCATATTTGGTTATTGCTTGAATATTCCTGGTATATCCCGAATATGCCAAGAATATTTTTTAAGGAATGTTCCTGGTGACTTGTAGTTAAATATTCTATAAATATTCCTGGAATATTCTGAATATTCTAGGAACATTCACAAAGGAATATTCTTAGAATATCTGACGAATTCCCATTGGACTTTTCTTAGAATATTCCAAAATGCATGTATATATTCTAAGAATCTTCAAAGCATATTCCAATGTTCAAAAAAGTTTATGCGGGGAATATTCTAGGAATATCTAATGTTAACTGGGTATGTTTCAAAAACATAGAGCCAGCAAGAAAGGGTGGATGATCAAAACAATTTTCATGGACTGTTTCAAAAACTGTTTTATTAAGCAAAAAAAATAATATTTGCGAAAAAATTTAAATATATCTAAATGGAAGAGTTCACGAAACCCCTTTCAACCCATTGTCAAGAAGTTCAGGAACATATGTTTTTAAATTTAATTGAATCGTTGACAATTGTTTCATATTAAATGGTTAAATTTTCTTTACCAATCCAAAAGAAACTCATGCAGTTGATTAACAAAATGAATTTATTAGAAAGCCAGTTGTTTAATGATGATGAAAATGCTGCATTTTGAAAAACCACTCGAGTTCATGAAAAGGAAATGCCAAGTCTTGATAAAAAAAATTAAGGATAGTTACATTCACAATTAGATTAGATTTTTAGGTGACCAAGGCCTGCACTATTGCGCCCTAAAAGGGCTGTTGTAGTTGCCGAAAATCACTGTATCCAGATTACCTACTTGAAGCTTGGAGAGTGGTTCTGATGTAGTCACTTGGTGTTGGCTTCTGACTTCTCAACTTGTTCTGAAAAATCGCTTCACCCCAGATGTTTTAAAAACATGGATCTTTACGTCAAATATAAAGCCAGCAAGAACGGTGGATGATCCAAACAATTTTTATACACTGATTCAAACACTGTTTTATTAAGCATGTCAAAAAAATTAGATTAAAAAAAAATACCTTCAAAAGCACTTTTTCTAGTAGATAAACGAAGATCCAGCAAAAGATGTATTCAATTTTGATCCAAAACACTAAACAAAGCCAACGGACCATACTTCTTAGCAATTTATACATATTCTACATATGGTTTTTATCACAAATACCTATGTATTGCTACAGATTTTTTACAAGGACTTTTAAGAACGTCAGTATATTTACATTTAGACGCAACTTTTAAAGTTTTGTAAGTCCTTGTTAAAGCACCATGCTCAGTTTGTGCAGTGGCAAAAAATGTAGGGAAAAAGTGGCCAGTGACACATGTGCGGTGGAACCATTCCAAGACAAACAGTTTATAAACAAAATGAATTTATCAGAAAGCCAGGTGTATAACGACGACAAAAGTGCTGCATTTACTTTTCCAACTAGCACTAAAAAGTAAATGTGACCTCTTGGTATAAAAAAAATTTAAGGATCACATTTACGCCTTATATTAGGCCTATACTACTGCGCCCTAAACGGGCTATTGTAGTTCCTGCAACTTTTAAAACACTGTATCCAGATTGCTTGTAGTCACTTGACTTCCCATATGGCCAAAACGCATTCTACACAGTGCTTCAATAGATTCACGTCTTGTTAAAATGCGACACAACTTTTCTGTCAAATCCCTTCGACCCAGATATTTTAAAAACATAGAGCCAGCAAGAAAGGGTGGATCCAAACAATTTTTATCGACTGATGCAAAAAATAATAAGTGCGAAAAAATTTAAATTTGATTAGAGTTTACGAAACCCCTTTCAACCCCTTCTCAAGAAGTCCATGAACAAATGTTTTTAAATTTCTATTTAATTGCATCATTGGCAATTTTTTCATATTAAACGTTTAAATATTCTTCTGAGGCATCAAATTGTCTTCTAATTTTCATTTTAATTAGCTTAAACCTATTTGCCAGGATTGCCAGTGTTTCCGTAATTGACAATTTTGGTTTCCAACCATCACAACAATCACATTCAAATTTCCAGCGAAATCTAAAATAAAAATTACAATGTTTGAGTGAAAAACTCGGTATTGCTATTATTAAAGACATTTTTAAAATTATATATTTTTCTTTCCTTGTCCATGCAATTTCTATACTATTATTTAAATCCTGATTTTGAATGGTTCCTTTATTTATAAAAACTGTAAATGAAATTTAATTATTTATTTATTATTAAAGACATTTTTGGACGTTGCGAGTGTTATTTGACAATATTTTAAAGTCTCAATTTCTTCTTTAATAAAACCACCTAGGTGCATTTTTTTCATTAATTTTTATAGGAAAAACAAATGCCTCACTTTTAAATAGGGAAATATTTATTTAAAATTATACAGGGTGCACCAAGTATCCTTCTATGTATGGGTATTCTTTTATTTAAAGCTATAAGGTTGGTTAAAATAGAAAAAAGTTGCGTAATTACTAGTCTATTAAAGCAGCATATATAGCATTTAAAAATTGGAAAAAAAATATGTATTCTCTGAAAACCTGTAAAAACCAAACATCGTCATAACTAACAAGTTTTACGTGTAAACCTACACATTTATCTAGATTTTCAACCAATTTATGACTTTTTTAAATTTTTATTTAATTGCAACGTTGGCAATTTTTTCATATTAGCGGTTAAATATTCTACTGAGGCATCAAATTGTCTTCTAATTATTATTATTTAAATTAGCTGGTTCTTTAACATTTCCAAACTGCTTAAATCCAACATTAACTATCCTATTCTTTAACATATTTGCCAGGATTGGAAGTGTTTCTGAAATTGACAATTTTGGTTTCCAACCATTACATTCAAATTTCCAGCAAAATCTAAAACAAAAATTACATTGTACACAATAACTATATCACTTGTGTTTTTTAAACATTCACTTTATGAAAACAAGTACGACAGAAAGACGGCGTTTTTAAAAATTAATTTATTATTGTATTGCTATTGAGTGAAAAACTCTATTATTCAAGACATTTTTAAAATCATATTTTTCCCCGGAGGGGACTTTAAGCCCGCGGTTCGTTCCTACCCCTAACCCGCACAAGCCATTCAGTTGGCTTCTGGGACTTAAGGGAAGTAAGGGTGGAACTAAAAGAGCACTTTTGTATATGAACTTTTGTATACGCCAGTTAAGTCATAACTGCATATTGACATGCAAATAAATGCTTTTTGGAATTTTATTCTAAAACCGTTTGTCGAACGCCAATTTTAATAGAGGTATAAAAGTACCTAATAGTGTGGCGTTTTGTTAATACCTATTTTTGCCTATTATTATATGTTTATATCTATTTATTTATTAAAAAAGTTTCATTTCAAAGTAAAATGTTTTTAAATAAATTATGTCACAAATTGTAGCAGAACACGTGAAAATGCTTAATTAAAAAAAAATAGACAGAGCTTTATGAATATATTGGAAGCAATTTTAAACATTCTAAATCGTTATAAAACAATAAGAAACGAGCCGCCATTAAAAACTCTGTACAGGGATTAACCTCTGTCGATTATTACCATTTTACCGTCGTCCAAGAAATCAAACAATAATTCATTAACAACAGTTAAAATGTTAAAATAAACTTTCTTGACTTGATAAACAAATGTTACTATAGGGTGCCAAACTAGACTTTGACTCTGTAAATTGTCAAACTGAGGCATAACAATAGTATATTTTTTGATATATTTTAAGAGTAAAATATATACAGGGTTTATTGTTTGATAAGGGCATTAAAGATTATTTTAAACCTTTTATTTAAAAAAAACTGGATAATAATAGTGAAAATAAATGTCTTTCTTTTGTCCCTTTCTACTTTTATCAAACAGATTTAAAAACTAATAAAAAATATGAATATTACAAGAAAATATTGCAAGCACAAGGGGTAGTGAGAAAATGTATAGAAGTTATTGTTTAAAAATGAGAGAGAAAGAGTAGATGTTGCAGGAGAAAAATCTAGCCATCCCTGTTTTACTGTATAATGTCATCAATGCGGTCTTCCACAAACAACTAACATAACCAATTTCTATGACAATTTAAACCTTTTTACTTGTTATTTATTTATTTATTTATTTAACGCATTTAGCAGTTACAATAGAAAAGGTAAGTACATGTGAAAAATCGTGCATATTACCGATGAAATAAGCAAAAATAGTATAGATACAGAAAATTAATTAAAACTAAATTAACTTAATATAATATTTAAAAACTTAACAAATCGATTAATAGATAATAAGATCATAGGATCCGTACTAATTAGTACGAAAACTTAAGTTACAGAGATTAAAGCTACATCACATGCTTGAGGCAGTTCTTGAATTTCTCAAGTGTGGTCCCGAAGAATTCAATGCTGGAGTTGGCATCGTTGACAGTTCTAGTAATTCGATGGATCGGTGAATTAGCTCCATGCACAGTTCTTCTGTGCTGAGCCCATAGAAGAGGCGTATGCCTAATTGCTCTAGGAGGGACAAAGATGTTAAAATCTGCCAAAATATCGGGGCAATTAATAAGACCATTGATAATTTTGAAGAAAAAGCACAAGTCTGACGAGGTTTGCCTACGCTCAAGGGATAAAAGCCCTGCATATTCTGCTGTCTCAGTTTCATTAAGTACTATGCCATTCAGTCTCAATTTACCGGTAAGTTTTAAGAAATTTGTCCTGAACCGCTTGAATTCTTCTTTTGTGTATTTCAAAGTATGGAGACCAAATGACAGATGCATATTCGAGCT